GAGAACGAGGATGCGCCGGCTTTCGTCCTTCATGGCAACCGCCCCAGGCGCAGGCTCGCCCATGACTCCAGCTCCCCGCCCCAGAGCCATAAACCTCGCTCGAAAGAGCTAAAAGAGAAAAGAAACCAGCCGCCAGACGAAAAGATCATGTCTCCATTCCCACTCCGCAATTCGACCAACTGACGAGAATGCACAGCTCGAGGCTGCCACAGTTTTGTCCAGTCTTATATTCACCCCTGTTTTTACGGCTGCGACCACATCTGTCCGACAAAGTGGCGGGAAAGCGCCAAGGAAATGCGCCACCATGGTCGTCAATGTGCGCAAAATGGCAGCCGAGGGCGGGGGGAGTGTGGGGGACGGGCGGGCGGCTCGAGGAAGGGCAAAAGCAAAATAGTGATCGAGGGCCTGGCTCGGGCTGGGCGAGAGACCAAAAAGCCCAAGAACTGGTATAAGCCCCGGCACAGACCTACCCCCGCCATCCCCAGGCTTCCTTCGCTACCCCGCCCCCGCCGCCTCCGGCTTCGTATGGTGTGCGCCGAAGCCGCCATTACGCACGCGGAATAACCGTCTCCCAACCGCCGCGCCAACCCCACGGCCTCTAAATACTCACTACACCCACAGCAACGTTCCTCACTAGGCCCAGCCACTTACCTCCTCCGTACCGCCCGTAACGCGACATGATGACTGGCCCGCGAGCTCCGCTGTTTCAGCTCGCAGCGCCCAAAGAGCGACGAATACAAAAGCTGCAACACCGCCACACGCCAACGATCCCAGCGGCACTACAAGGAAGAGCCTGGGTCCGCGCTTATATATGCGGCGGCTGGGTTTCATTGCGCATGCGTCACCTCGACGTTCTGCGCGGCACAAAGGAGCTGGGCGGAAACAGCGGAGAAGCGGCGCGGAGGGAACTGAAGAGGCTAAGACGCTGAGCAGAAGCGGAGGGATACGTTTCCATGGGAACGCCACGATTTCCCCGGTAAACCCGTTGCCTTCCCTGTGGTGTCCCGCCCCCTCTCCTCCCCACTTTCCCTGTACCTTCCTCATTTTCCTTCCCTTCTCCCTCCTCCCTTTCATTCTCCCCAATCTGGGGACCCTCAGCTCTGGTAATCTTCCTACAGGTGCACTAGACCGGCCTTATGAAAGGCTGTAAAATTTAACCGCTGATGTTGCAGCCGTCGCCGCCTTTCTCCTGGGGGACCTGGCGTAGACTGCTACTCATTGATCTTTGGGGCTCGTCAGAGGTAATCGGGAGCTTGGCCAGGGTGAGAATTCCATGAACCCCGCCGTTCTGAGTAGTGCTCTCTGCAACAGAAGCTTCAAAAAGGTGTGACGCCCCTAGGGACAACCCGCCCTGCACGGACCTTCCAGCCCCCTCAGGGCCAGCCACCAATATTCACCAACAGGGTCCGAGTTCTTGGAGTCCGGGAAACAAAGGAATAGACTCCCCCCTCCCCCCCCATACTGGAATTGTGACAAAATCCTAAATCCTTAAATCATCTTGAAATTATTTGCATTTGAAGCACAAAGTAATATTTGTGCTTCCTTTCCAGTGCTTTCTGCTTTATGTTGCAGTACCACATCTCATCCACTAATACTAAGATTCTGAGGACTGGGACTTTAAGTCGTCTCTGAGTAGCAGCCTTGCTGCTCAGCCACTCTATACATCAAATAGAAGAAAATCCATCTTTATGTTAGAATCGCTGAAAATTCAGTTTCGATTTTATACAATGCATTTACCAGAAACCAACTCTGTAAATAGAGATTTGACTTCTTTTTTTTTTACCATTTATTAATAAAAAAATTACACTAAAAATACTTGGAATACATGAGTTGGAACTGTTCCACATAAAAGAGGAAATTCTTAGATATCTGCATTTTTATTTTTTTCATCTGTTGTAACTTCACTTGGTATGTATAGGTGTAGGATACATAGTATAGGGGAAAGGAGGCTTAGGTAAATAAGCCTTTATTCAGATGAATAAAGTATGGATTCTTTCGGAGTAATGCTACAAATTTATATATTTTTTTTAGTTTTCAAATTGTGAGAGGAATTTGTCTATCTCAAGAAAATCTCTAGCAAGAAAATAGTTGTATACAGTTTGTTATATTCATTCTCCCTTATTGATTTTTTGTTATCTACTAATAAGGTTCTTCTCAAAAGGATTAAACAATAAAGATCTTTTATGTATGCCTTTATATATTTTTATATAGAAACAATATCAATACTGTAAAACCTCATTAATTTAACTTTCTCCTGTTAAGAATTTATGAAAACTACTGTTGGACAAAGCATAGGTAACTTAATTGAAAGATAGTAATTATTGTACTGCATAGCTCTTTATAGGCCTCAATAAATATTTTTTGGCTCTGAATACAAAGTCAATTGTACAAAAGAGAATTTCTAAGCAAATAGTAGTGTAAACAATAATGAAGAGAAGCAGTTGTCCAACTTATAACAAACTGCTTTCAAGCACATTAAAGGAAAAGGGGTAAACCCAGAGTGGCTTGCCTGCCTCTGTAGCTAAGTATTCTTTATGTCTATTAAAGAACGGCCAATTCTAGGCTGAGCTTTGCTAACCTAGTTGCCATTAAAAAAAAAATAGTACTGTATACTACTTTTGTACACTGTTATACTGAACCCTGTTTCTTTAAGAACATGTAACCAACTCTTTTTCACTAAATGTCAAATCCAAATCAGAGAAACTTTTTTTATAGAGTTCTTTTATTCCTGCTGATTCTTTTGAAATCAGCTTCACCTATATAAATTTCTGCCTCTAGGATTCTATGTTAAATTACAATCTCATTCCCAGGTTCAATTTGAATATGAAAGTTACTTAATTCAATTCAACAAATATTCTAATATTTCCTATTATGACCTATTGAATAATTCTTATGTTACTGTTGTTAAATATTGATAATATTATTAGTTTATGAAGGGGAGGTAATTCCTAATCCTACTGCAGATTTCAAAATTTATCTGCATTTCCTAGATTCAGTATTTCCAGAGAAGCATTAAAGAAAAATTCACTTTTTATCTTACTTTGTTCTCCATTCTAGTTTCACTTTTAAGTCATTGTCACCATTTTAGCTTGAACATGAAAACTTTACAACAGGAAAAACAAGTTTAGACCTTTTGTACATGTATCAGTTTTTAATATAAAAAGTAGTCTTTATGTTAGAATAACATTACAAACACTAATCCTTTACTATGTATTTAAGTATGTGCTGTGTATGTTTGTACCATAGGTCAATCCAAACAACTATGGTCAACCACAGCTTTCATTTTTCAACATTTCATAATCTTCTATTCGCTCTAGACTGCTGTTAAGTTCTGGGAAGGAGAAACTCTTAGGGGCATGTTTATAATTCTTTCATATTGTATTAAAGAAATAAACTTCTCATTAGCAAAGTACTGGACTGCAATCAGTACTGAAGTATATAGGACTGAGAGGAGAACAGAAGTTAAAGAATACCAGTATTTTGACCAATTTCAAAGAGTAAAACTGGGAAGAGTAAAATGTGATGCAAGAGTGCCCACTGATACAAATATTACCTAAATGGGTGGTTTAGGAGTATAAAGCAATCCAGGAAGAGTGAGACTTTCTGAGAAATGCCTGATTGTATTTAAAAAGTGTGAAACTGTAAAATCATCAAGCCCTAAACTAACCAATTGTGTTGTTTAGGAAGAATACTAATGAAAGGGAGTTGGTCAGCTTGGTGTCTTAATTATAGAGAGTTAGACTAGCTTAGACTTCGAGTTTAGCACTTAGCACTGTCTTGGAAGGAGCGAACCTGTATTATTAACCACCTCTCAGCTATACTTAGAGAAATACTGCACAAGACCATTGACTTTGTTTTGTTTGACATTTTTGACACCGATCTACTAGTCTCTGGAAATGAATGTCTTCTGTAAAAATTAAGATAATTTTAGTTCGTAAATCCTTTTTTTAGGAGAGATGGTATAGTGTAATGATTAAGCATAAGCTCATGAAGTGTGACAGAGTTGGGATTGAAGCTCGGCTCCACTATTGAATAGCTGCCTACCCTTGGCCAAATTTTTAATCTCCTGGTACTTCAGCTTCCTTATGTGCAAAATGGGGTTTAATAACAGTACCCATCCCGAGGAGTTGTTGTTAGGATTAGATGAAGTAAACCAAGTATGTAACATGGCACAGTATCTAGCACACAGTGAGTGTTTAGTGCATGTTAACTGTTATAATAGGATAAGGACTAGTAGCAGTGGTTTGACTAACCTTTGTCAGTTGCTAAAAATCTGATATGATCCAGGCGTGTTGACAAAACTGAAGTTTCTGCAAAGCTGCAGACCAGATTCTGGAACATGGTGGTGACCATCCTTAAGTGGCCACGCCTAAAACACTCCTAAGATACCTTTGTCTCTTCACAAATGACTTCAATATGGGACGTTGTAACTTTTCTTCTTTTACCCAATCCACACAGAGAAAAACAATCTGGCATGTAAGAGACAAAAACTCAGAAAAAGAAATTTTCTTCATGAAAGTAAATCCCTAGGAACCCCTAAATCAAATGCTGAAACTTTTCTTAAGGGCACTATGCAAAGATATTTGCCTGTGGAATGGGGAGATGTGTGTTCATGAGCAATGTGGAAATTGTCACTTTTTATTACAAAGTTTAGTCTTGGAAGCTAATTTCTCTAAGATTAGGCACACCTTAAAAAAAAAAGGGAATGAAATCTACTTCAAAGCCTATGACAAATGTATGCATATACTACAACTCTCAAATAGATTATCAAGTAGACTGCATATAAAAGAAATAGCTTAAAATTCAGAGACAGGAGGAATTTTGTTAGGTCACTAGTCTAACCACCTCATTTTTCAAGTGAGAGTAAGACCTAAAATTGCAGCATGATGAATGCAGTTGTTCCCAGATCCTGCTACAAGGACTGTCAGTTGGAACTTTGATGAAAATTTCTCCAGTCTCAGAAAAATATGAACTATTGCCAACCACTGTTACTTGGGAAGAACCATCTTTTATTCTGTGAATATGTCTTTTTTTCCTGTTAAAATTTTTTTCCTGTTAAAATTTTCCTGTTAAAATCCTCTCATTTTTTAAAGGAAAAGATGCTAATAATATTTCTTTTTAATCTCATGTTTTCTTGATGGAAAAAAGTCTGTCCCCTCCATTCCCCAATTTTTTTCAGATCTATCTAATACCCCAAATTCAAGAGTCTAGAATCTCTAGTAAATAACAAAGTGTGATTTTTAACCCATAAAAAAATAGAGAAAAAAAGACAGTTAAGAAAAGAAAAAAAATTATGTCCTTACTGAAAATACAAATTAAAACAACATGCTATTTCTGTCGGGAGTGCGGTGAAATTGGCACTTACACACATTAATGAGAATGTGAAATAATACATTTGAGGTGGTCAATTTGGAAGTGTTTTAAATTGTATGTCTGTTTTGCCTCATCAGTCTTACTTCCTGGAATTTATTCTAGGAATTATTCATCGTTATGCATAAAGATTTATATGCAGAAATGTTGGTAGGATCTTATTTATAATATCAAAAATTGGAAATAGTTTGAAAATTAAACATAAAGGGAATGGCTAAATGTTATGGCACATGAGTTGGTTACATATATTATAGCCATTAAAAACCACGTGGTACAAGACTTCAATGTCAGAAAAATGTTAACGGTATGTAGTTAAGTAAGAAAAGCAGATGTCAAAATGATTTGCATTCACAGAAAGATTCTGATTTTATAAAAATAAATCATATTAATGAGTAAGTTTTCTTGTTTTGTTTTTCTGTATTTTACAACTTACTATAAT